TTTTTTTCTTTTTGTGCGGGAGTCAGTCAACAGCACTCCTGTAGCCATGTTATAAATCAACATAATGAGGCATAAATCAGCATTAATTAGCATATGGGCCGTGGGTCCACTGTAAGACGCACAATGGCAGCTGACATATAGCCCTCATTATCAATTCACACGGAGTGGCACCAATCACCGTATCGTCTTTCCCACAGCCTCTCCTCATCAGATCATCTTTATTTGCAATCAGTGTGGCGGGGGGGGCTTCTACAGATGGAAAGTGCCGGAGCAGAGAGCCGGACGAGTGACGGATCGGCACCGCAGAAGACTCTCCCACAAACACGGCAGTGACTAATGAGGCAGAGGGCAGGAAAACGATGACAGGAACAATCTGATAAAAGCCCAGCTTCGGAGGGCGGTGCGTGCAGGGGGACTGAGAGTAGCAAAACAAGGCTCCGAAGATAAAGCACAAGAGAGGAATGGGAGCGAGCCAAAAACCTGAAAGGTGCATAACCTGTGAACACATCAGTCCAATGATGGGCATGTTCTCTAAACAATGAGTCCCAGTTTCTTTTGGTGTCACCCTAATGTTGTCTTGGCTCCCCCACTCCCAAAACCAGCTTTAAATAGTCTCTGCCAGTCACCAAGGAAGCTGTTCAGTCGTCAATTCCGGGATGCTGGACGGCAAACACACACCCTGTAGAGTCCCAGCAGCGATCTGTCAGCTAACGCGTCTCCAAACGCCTTTCCCAGTCTGCCGCTCCGCATAATCAAGCCTCCATCCACAGCATGGGGTCCCGGCCCCCTTTGGCTCTGGCTTTATCTGAAAAGACAGCATGAGCAGATAAACTGGTGCAGGGGAACATTTGGGCAATCAGGTCCAGGAAAAAGGGTTGATATTAAGCACAGGTGTAGGGCCCTTCCTGAATCAGAGGCTGGGAGGCAATCGACTTTATTTGTCTGTTCAATTCCGAATCTATTATCAACTGCAAATCTATTCTATCATCTTTTCTCCCTTCAAAACGTTATCTCTATCCTTCAGCTTTCCCCTCAGTCACATTAAACTTAAAGTGTTTTAAACTCACTGACGGGTCACTCCGCCAGCAAGTAAAAAGTCATCATTTTGATAACGAGATGTTGTTAATACAAAACAAATAATTCAACTATTCTACATCTTATAGGCTCCTCCGGTAATCCCAGAAAAGGATACATATTATTCAGCCCACTTTCAAGAGCTCCTTCATCAGTCAAAATGAGAGCTGCTCCGGTATTTCGCATCCTGGGCTGCACTTTATGTAAAATCAAACAATTTCCCCCCATTAGTCTCCATAGAAAGAGGCAGGGATGGTAATCGCAGCTTCCTATGCATATTTCAGCATGAAAAAGCGCGCCGGGGGCAAAACGAATTTGCTTCTTTTTCATGTTGATCTTTCTCCTGTTTTTGGTGTGTCAAATGAGACAAAAGAGCAGCTCGGCTGCCGTCTAGTGCCTCATTACGATGATGTTGTGGTTAAAGAGACACTGATCATGGTGTCAAACTCACATGCATCCGTGTGGCTGTTGAATTTTCAAATTAGCTTTTTAGGTCTGACTAAAGCTGGAGAAGTGCTTTGATCTCCACTGGGTTAACCACTCAAGCGGAGATGGCACGGTGTGAACATAGTGGTTCTGGGAAAATATGCCACCTTTTTGCTTTCAATCACAGTCAGATCTATCTATTCATGACATTTCTAATACAGGTGGCTGTGCAGGCTTGAAATCCTATTATCTGTCCGTGTCACCCAGCCCTCAGATATTTTTGCTTTGAAAAATAAGCTGCACATATTTTGTTGTTTGTATTTTGTTTTTTTTTTGTGGCCATAAAATCCCCGAACCCTTCACATTTACTTGTGCCAGCGCTTGCAAAAAGCCTATTGGGGTCCATCTGCTGAAGTCTTTATTTTAAAAATGGATTGAACTGAGCAGAAGTCGTGACCATATGGTTGCTTCCAGTTCTCCTCTAATGATCTCACGAGAGGAAAAAAAAAAAATCAAGACTCACAGACG